TCTACATTGGAGTTCTCTTTGAAATGTTTAACCTTTGAACAAACAATGCTGCTTTAATTTTTAAATATATTTCATTTATTGCTATTTTGTTCTTGTTTTGTTATTGATATTTTGAATGAAGAAATCTGAATCATAAATCAAAATTTAAAATATTTATTGATAAAACAGCTCAACAATAAATAACCTCTAAAATAAAAGACAATCTGTTTAAAAACAGACGAACTAAATCAACATAGCTGTTTTGTCTATGCCTATTTAAATTTGAATTTCGAAACAAATCTTTTAAACGCATTTTCCCGCTACTTTTCTTAACTCAAACGTTTGAATGCTCGATTCAAGTTCAGTTATATAATACTTTCAATAAAAACGATATTTTCATTGTTTAATCCATTTCCAATTCGTGTTTATTGTTACAAGGGATGTCGGCGCACGGCCCTCCCGATTACGGTAGGCTCTTGTTTATTTTTCGGCTCAATGACGTGTTACATCTGGCACTGTTGTCTTTATTCATCTGCATTAATTGAAAAACAAACAATGGACCTGCGTACATTCGAACCCGTCGCAGTTTACTTTACTAATCATATTTCATGTTATTCAGATGATTTAATGAATTTTGAATTTAATGTTCAAGAGAATAACGATTAGTTTACTTCGCCAAAACCGAGTCACAGCCCGGCCGCTCCCTGTGAAATGTATGAATGTAACCAGAATCAAATACAAGTTATTGATAATTCTATAGTACAATTCACTCCTTTGCATTCCAAGAACACGCCTATAAAGCTGTGAATTACAAAAGTCTTTCTTAGATCGTTAACATGTTCGGTAGAATGCCGTATATTTTCAATAGCATTAAGGAGGAACCTAAGAATTTTGCTACGTTAATTGGCGCGCACAAGCTCTTTCAATTACGCTAATAAATTACTGAAAATGGATACCATTCCTTTCAAGAAGAGCTTCATAATAGATTTTAATGTCCTATTATGATTTCGAATATTGATTTTCTTGAGAATTGACTTGGTTTTCTTTTGTACTAATTTTGATTATACTTAAGGTTTGCGTCTCAATAGTTGCTTCTATAGATAAAGTATACTTTAATATAAATAAATTGGGATATCAATGAAATATAGGAACCGGTGCTTGTAAGAAATAACCACAAAAATACTTGTTTTTGTCAATTTACTTAATATTTTTTTCGATAAAACAAATATATTTAATGTGTTTAATAAAAAAATGAAAATTCATTTACATACATATATCGCACTGATTCTTTGGTGATTGTCAAACTGTAAAATGATTTAGCTTACATTAAATAGGATTCACATTAATCCATTATTAAGAATTTTAAGGTCTTGAATTGAATTTAAAAAAATACTAGTATAGTCGCCCTACAATTAATTTAAATTCGAAAATTATTAAGGGTCTATTGTCAAAGACCTCTATAATAACAAATTTCGTCAAGGCTACACTATAGATAAATAATGTTGAAGACAAACAATATTAATTTATTCTGAATTTGACCACAGACTTTAACAATAAACAAAAGAGTATATATGCGTGTCTGTGTCAAATACATGCCAGTGTGTGTAATGTTTTTTTATTGATTTCATTATTTTTATGTACAACTTTTAAAAGATATTAGCATTCTGCACTCCTTCTATATATTTTCTATAAGTGTGGGTAATTTCTTACTCCTCCGTCCGCGCAATTTTCGTAAAAAGATGTACAACGTTTTTTCTTCACGTATTAATCTATAGATAAGTAGTCGGTTAACGAACAAAATTAGTTTATTATAAAAAAAAACCTTATCTCTGGATAAAGAAACGATCTGATATAATGTTAATACAATAAACTTTAATTTGGCAGAAGAAAAGCATTTCTTAATATCGGAGGGCGATGTGATTCCATTTTCCGAGTAAAAGATCACGTAGGTACATACTTTATTTATTCGCGTATATTAAATTTCTGGATTCTTCATGTACGTAAATGTAAATAAAAAGAACACATTAAAACAGAGACGTACTCGTAGTTCAACTCAGTTTAACGATCGCCTGGTGTAGTGGTAAGTGACATGGTCACTACACAAGGGGGTCGCGGGTTCGAATCCCGCCAAGGGAAGATATTTGTATGATAAATATAAATGTCTTTTCCAGGGTTATGGATGTATATTAAATATATGTACGTGTGTAATAAAAATCTTACATTTATTTCCGTTATCTGGTACCTGTAACACAAGCTCTTTACGAGCTTAGCACGGGACCAGTTAACGTGGCGTGATTGTTATTACATATTTATTTATTTATTTATTTAATGACTTTAGTGTTTTGTTTATTTCTGTAGAAATAAACAAAATGTGAAGAAATAATATAAATGGCTTAAATGCGGCTTTTTTATTTATTTCATAGATGGGTGGACGAGCTCACAGCCAATCTGGTGGTTTTTTTTATTGTATAGATGGTTGGACGAGCTCACAGCCAACCCGGTGTTAAGTGGTTACCGGAGCCCATAGACATCTACAACGTAAATGTCGCCACCCACCCTGAGATATGAGTTCTAAGGTCTCAGTATAATTACAACGGGTGCCCCACCCTTCAGACCGAAAGGATTTTTTTTTTGCCTTTGTAGGCAGACGAGCGTACGGCCCACCTGATGGTAAGTGGTTACCGTCGCCCATGGACTTCAGCAATGCCAGGAGCAGAGCCAAGCCGCTGCCTACTGCTTAATACTCTCCAGAAGCCTCGTTTGAAGAAGGAAGGGTTCGTTTATGTACAGTTTCGAACCTGTTTAGGTTAGTCGAGATTGCGATGTTTTCAAATATATTATATATTTAAAATATATTTAAAAAACGATACTTTTTCTAGGTATTTTCGTCCATTGTCGGAACATTCAAATTTACAAATTTCTAGTTCTAGATGTCGGTTCAAAGTCTATTACAGAATTCCACGCGATTCAAGAAAAAGTGTTGATAAAACGCGATACAATATGTACCTACGTATTTAATCTATATATATAAAAGAAAGTCGTGTTAGTTACACTATTTACAACTCAGGAACGGCTGAACTGATTTGGCTGAAAATTGGTGAGGAGGTAGCTTAAAACCAGGAGAAGGACATAGGATACTTTTTATCAGGTTCCCGTGGGACGCGACATAAAACGTGGTATAACAAAACGCAACTGACAGCTAAACGTAATATATTCTATGGTTAATTATAGTAGAATTTTGAAGTTGACCGGTTGATGTGTTTGAAACAAACCGTGTGGCGGAACAAAGTTCGCCGGGTCCACTAGTCTATACTAATATTATAAAGAGGAAAGATTTGTTTGTTTGTTTGTATTGAATAGGCTCCGAAACTACTGAACCGATTTGAAAAATTCTTTCACTGTTTGAAAGCTACACTATTCACGAGTGACATAGGCTATAATCTTTTTAAAAAAATATATAGGGATCCTTACTAATACTCCAATAATGTAAAAAAATTACCTAAAATATTATTTACATCGCGTGCCCTGCGAAAACTATTGATTATAGAATCAAATAATTTACTACGACTTTGTAGAACACATTATTATTTACAAAAAGTGTCGCGACAGCATACTTCTAACTATTGCGCAGTGTTCTTTTATTTAAAAAAATTAAACAAGGTCAAATATCGTTGAAATTTTTGTTAAAGACCCGAGCGGAGCCGGAACGGGCCTCTATATACTATATAATCGTAAATATACTGTCATCTGTTTATCCGTGCATCTGTGAACGGCGTACAAGATAATAGCTAAAGCAATTTGGATTTAATTTTCATTGATGGGCCAACTTTAATTAAAGCCCTAACGGTTCGCAATTAACATTTAGAATATGCGACGTGAGACTTATCGGGATAATGGATTCTGCCGTAATCTGGATGAGCATGCCGCCGATGTTAGTCTATATGAAAATGGATATTTCAAGACGCACCGCTCTTCAGATTATTCCGACTCTTTTTTTAAATATATTCAAAAGTTAGTTTATCAAAACGTGATTCGCAGAATAAAAAAATTGCTTCGTCTGAAATTAGAAGTAGACTTATTATAAATTAGCCGTACTCGCCCGCTTCGCTAGGCATTAAAAATTAACTTTATTATTCGCTGTCATTATTATTAGGGCGACCAAGACACATATAAATATTAGTCTATCCATTAAGTACATGTATTTTCTACGTGGATATCAAGTTTCAAGTCAATCGGTTGCATGGTTCAGTAGTTATAACGGAACATCCGTAAAAACCACTGTAGATTTATATATTAGTATATATAATATAAGATAAACTAACAAACTTTTACTGGTGGTAGGGCATCTTCTGAGCACACATGAACCATGCTCATCTGACGTGAAGCATACGGTTCTTTTACGTTACGTTCGTTCCTTTCCTTTTTGAAGGTTGGTAAAATAATCTAAGTTTCATTTAAAATGGTATTGTTTTGGGGCTGTTTCCTTAAAAGCCACGAACAAGGTAAAAGTAGGGAACAAAAAATAAAATTGCAAAATTTCACCGACCCAAACTTAACCGTCACATAAACTCATATTTTTATTGTTTCAGAAGTCGAACGCAGACGACGCACGAACCAGCGGCCCGGCTGACGATCATTGATTATCCAAGGTCTACCATTCAAGCAAGCTATAGTAAGGGTTTTTTTTTTATTGCTTAGATGGGTGGACGAGCTCACAGCCCACCTGGTGTTAAGTGGTTACTGGAGCCCATAGACATCCACAACGTAAATGCGCCACCCACCTTTAGATATAAGTTCTAAGGTCTCAAGTATAGTTACAACGGCTGCCCCACCCTTCAAACCGAAACGCATTACTGCTTCACGGCAGAAATACGCTGGGTGGTGGTACCCACCCGCGCAGACTCACAAGAGGTCCTACCAATAGTAAGTGGTATACTTGGTTTCGTATACTTGTCAGAAAATATGGTCTAATGTTAAATATGTCAAAAGAAAAGGACAAAGAGTGGTTTGTCCATTCATACCTTGCAACGTCCGCCTGGTGGAGAGCATTAGTTCAGCAGTCCTTACGGTGGATATTGCAATGCTCTCTACAGCTGTTCGGCGTAATGCTGCTCTGAGGTTTGCTTCCCGCCCTCGACCACAGCACTGACCACCGCATATTTGACCTGAGAACAATTAAATACACTTTATTACACAACAAAAAACATTTTTGAAATTAAATTAAATTAAGGGTTGTTATTACAACGAAGTTCCTTCCTTCTGGGACGATGCGGAGGGGTACCTAACCGGGAAAAAACGTCCGCAACGGAAGATTTTTATTAGTAATGCACACAGTGTACGACTTAACTTTGTAATAACGTACAAAAAATAACATATTTTTATTATATATTTTTTTATGAATCATTGTGAATAAAATAAAGTTGATAACTTTGTAAAGTAGTTTTTATTTTATTTTAATAAATAAAAAATCATAATAAAAAATGTATACCCGAATAATTATTTTCTTTATACCTCGAATAGAACTTAAAATTAATATTTTTATAATAAGGAACTTCGGTCCTATCCGGTGTCCCACGACACCATACTTTTTTTTAGGGTTTTATTTCGATATTTTTATTTTCATTTCGTTTTTTCTGACGTTTCGAATTCTGTAAGACTTTGGTGGTCTAAGGTTTTGTTTGTCGACTTCGTTGTTGTAATCCGTGAAAGGGTTTAGGCTGTAGAGCGTCCTAAAGAATTAAACGTACCCTTGAAAAAACGTTACCTTCATTCGGCAGTCGGGTAAGAAGTTAGTTCCCTAGAAGGCTTACTTTGGATTTGGCCAAAATTACATTCCTCGTCATTTATTGTTCAAACCTGAGACAAAAACTAATCTAAGCTCTTTCATTTATTCAGATACCACATTTAAATTATCAAGGTCGTCGTGGCCTAAAGTATTAAGACGTCCGGTGCATTCGTATCGAGCGATGCATCGGTGTTCGAATCCCGCAGGCAATTGGTAACTTGCCTTTTTCTAATGAAATACGTACTTAACCAATATTCACGATTGACTTCCACGATGAAGAAATAGCATCGTGTAATAAAAATCAAACAAAAAAGCCGACTCAATTTCACCAAACAATCAAAGCTCAAAAACATATTAAGTTATAGCTTTCCCCTCTACTGTTCAATCTGCGGGTAAGTGTAAATTGTACAAGACATAGGCCACGGTGACAGCTGTCAGACTGACGAGGGTTCCCGTTGACCTCAGAAGCTCTATGCCTTAATGACTGAACTGAAGTGTACTCGTGTACCGGTTCGAATACGATGTTTTTGTTGACGTATATATGTATATTATACATGTGTCTGAAGCCTGTTGACCTTCAGACCCGAGACCGCACACTTCAAAGCGTACCGTAGAATTGCTTTGAAAGATCAGACAGACGCGGATTTTAATGCGCTACCAGCAATGGCTTAGATGTAGCCTGTATACTTAGTGCGAGTTTCTTAGCGTTCTCGATAGCTTAAAAGTTATCTCAAATTTGTACGCAGTGGGCCATGCCCGATCCTGTAGACCGAATGGTAAACAGTTGACGTTGCCCAAAACACGTCATTATGGATCCTCCCGAGCCATTAACGGTGCTTTTAGGTACCACAAGCACCGGTCACCGTCCTGGTCGCTTATGTCGAAGGGCTCGACCAGCGAATTAACCAATAGACACAGCCCACTGAGTTTCTCGCCGGATCTTCTCAGTGGGTCGCGTTTCCGATCCGGTGGTAGATTCTGCGAAGCACTGCTCTTGCTGGGGCCAGTGTTAGCATCACTCCGGTTTGTTGAGCCCCGTGAGCTCACCTACTAGTTAACGTTACGCTGAAATAGCCTCTCAAGGCTATTAGCTTAGGCAGGAAAAAAAAAAAACGCAGTGGAACAGCGCCCCTAGGGGCAAACGTAGGCAAATATTCCAACTCCATACAAATTCGAATTAACTTTTACGCTATCGAGAACGTTAAAACAATCACACTAAGCGCACTGGGCAAATTGTATAATATAATACAACGTGCCCATGTGAAATGTTTTTATGTCTTTGTTAACTCATGTTCGCCGGTTTGCGCAGAATGCAAAAAATAAGTTCTTACCCAAGTTCACATATCTAACTCAGTATGTTCAATATAAAAGTTCTTAATACTTGTTCACAATGGCGGGCCGGTGATTTTCCGGGTTAAATGGATTTGTTGCGGGCTCGTCCAAAATGTTTTAGATTTAAAAAAAAATATGGCCCAAATTATCTTATCAGCGTAACAGTCCTAAGTAATTGGAAAGACGATTGAGCATTGCGAATCAGATTCATTAAAATAGGTCGTATAAGCAAGATCTCCACTGCTGAAGTTGCAGTCATGTACATATATCTTTTTGGTGAGTATCGGCCCAGTTTTTAAGCTATTGCATAGATTTTATCGCGGACCTTGAGCGCGGCTTGAGAGCGGAATCATGAAATTCCGTAACGAAAAAAACCTTCCATCCCTCACTACGCCTACTGTAGCTCGCGTTAAACACATAAAAATAGAAAATTATATCACATTACATACAATGCGTTGGGCGTGCCGTTTTCTATAACTTAGTCGAAGAATTTTATTACTACTTCTACTACTCATTCAGTGATTGGAGTGGCATTAAAAATAAACTAGCTAAACCGTTGATCCTGGGCGAATGAGAGTTAGAACTAGCATCCAAAGGCGTCTCTATCCCATGTAGCGCTCTCTAGTGAGTGCGCGGTCAAAATGGAATACTCACAGTGTAGCAGATTCATTGAAAGTTAGCCCACTGAGTTTCTCGCCGGATCTTATTTTATTGTTGTTTTAATATTAAATTATTATTGTCGATTTATAATTGCATAAGTTGATAAAAAATGCTATGCAATAGCTTTACCGCAGCAGTCTCCGAGTGCCACACGTCTTTTTTTAATTTATTATTAGGGTTACTGGTAGTAGAACGGTGGTAATTCTGCCATTGCCGGTCCAAAACTCGGATGAGAAAAGGGTTGGCGGATGGTATGCCACTTACCCACCGGTAAAAATATAACGCCGAGCAACGGGCGGCGGCCAACTAACCCAAACTAGGGCTTCAGTAGCCCAGAGGAACTAAATCGTCTCTGAAATTCTGCTGTGGAAGGACGCGGGAACCCACCACTAGTACTTTTCCCAAGAAAACCTTTACGTATGTACTCCGTAAAGGTCACGATCCTCAGCACTGAGGAACACGACGCACGGAGGTGGGGGTGGTACAACGAATACTGTGGGCACAGAAACATACGCATCGTGCATTTCGGTTTGAAGGGTCGGATACCTGCTATACAGTACAATCAAAATATCGACCTCGTGCCGGCATTCACGCCGCGATGTCCATGGAAACAAATAAGCACCAGGGATATGCACATGTCCAATCAGCTAACAAAAAAATCCCGAAATTCTATTTCATTCGAGGATTTTAGACATGTGTAAGTTGATTCTTTACATTGTCTTGATAATTGTTTATACTTAGTTCATTTTACGATAATGGTGTAATATAACAGTACAATGTACTGAATGTACAAAGCAGCTATTCATGAAATGATCAATGAATCATAAAGAGGTGGAATGAATGATAGCCGTGCAACTATTGTTAGTAAATATTTTGTTATGAGTAGATTATTTTGAGTAGACGACAACACGGTGAGTGCTAACTCGAATCACGATATTGCAGTAAAAGAAAATCAACTCAAAATTTGTTAGTGTTTCTCGGTTCAACGAATTTCGTCGCATTGGACGGCATCCAAACAGTATAACGAATAAATGGCGAACGGAAAACGGTTTAACTCGCGGCCGCCAACATTCTGAAATACATACATATCTACGCTCCCTATATTTATGTGTCCATTTATACTTAAACACTTCGATGGATTTGAGTGCATTCTATTGTTTTGGAAAATTTTCCCGTCCGCATCTTTCTTATACAGGCTTGAAACGGGTTGCCATGCTTAAAAAAAAAAACTAGCTATAATAAATAATATGTTTAAAATTTTAAGTTTAATGAAACTATTACTGCTTACTTTTTGGCTAATAATTAAAATTAAATTGCAAATAAAATTTGTTAAAATTAGAATTGCGATGTTTTGACAAAATTTTTACATTTAGACGTTTTGCATTATATTTACAAAGCTTTTGATAAAAAAAAACTGATATATGTATTTTGTTTTTAGCATTCTAATAAGACGATTTTTTATATGACATATTTTAACTATATCTTCTTAAAATTAAATTTAAAAACTAGTAACCCAAGGACAAGTAACAAAGTTCTGTATCACAAAACAGTAATAAATTCCGAAATGGTTTTCAGCAAATTATATACATATAAGAGTATTCAAATTTCAACCCCTTTGCTAATCGCAGTACGTCGACGGGGCTCGTTCATGGCGAGTTGAACGTTCTATCGATTTCTTTCCTATCATAAAGAGAGGTGACGTAAAGAACTTTACGAAGCTTTTATGCGCTGCAGTATTTTCCAATACGGGTGCGGGCAGCAGTAGATTTTTAGTTTATGACCACGGGCCGCTATATAAAAATCGATATTCGCGTTACTTTTTATGTTTTCCGGACCGCAAAGTGAGAACATGAACGAATTGATACTGTCTAGTTAGGCAGCGACTGTTGACGCAGAAATAGTAGAAACAGAAGAGGCCATGTTGAACTCTTTTTTGTTCTTTTAAAAAGAACTGCTGTTCACCATTTGCTGTTTCGAATGTGGTTTAACTTTCATTCGATAAATAAACAATGCCTTATACTTAGTGCTTTTATTATTATAGCTTTATTTATTTACTAGTGCTTTTTCCACTCAACAATGCAATTATATATCAAATTATAAACTACTTATTTCTTCTTTTTTTTCTTTGTATGGCCCCTTCTGGGGTAAAAGCCTCCTCAATCTTTTTCCACCTTTCCCTGTCCTTGGCCAAATGCATCAAACTTTTTCCAGCAGTCTTTATTATATCATCGACCCAGCTTTTTTTCTGTCTCCCCACATTTCGTTTGCCAAAAGGCATACTAGTGTTTATTGCACTGGAATGCTAGACGGAGATTTGCCAATTTAGTGTCAAATTGGTACCGAGGGTCGTTGACATCATACGGGGGCCTTCTTGAGACGTGATATAAA